CCTGTCTTATTTTCACAGTCTGAAGTTCTTTCCTCGACGGCATATACAAACCATAAGCACGGCCGCCCCTCCTCAAAGAGCCCCCTTTCCAACAGCTCAGCTGGAGGTGGGGGCTCCTCGGAGGCCGCAGGGGGGCAGTGCCATCCACACACCCACCACAGAGACTCATACTGCAGAAGGGGAATTGCAGGGGTAACCTGCCCCGCTGAACAGGGGCCGGGAATCGGGCCGGGCGCTGGGCCTGACATGGTGCCTTCAAGGATCGCTACAACAAGGAGGGCGGGGAAGCTCGCACAAACCCACCCCCACTACAAAGGGGAGTCTGACCATCCCGGGGAGGAGCAGCCGGAAGTGAGGAAGCCTCGCCCTCCAAGACCCAGGCCCACGGGACTGCTCAGGACTGACCTGGGGCAGAACAACAGAGCCCTCCTGCCCCTGGCTCGGCCTGGCCAGCACGGCCGCAGGAGCAGCAGTGGTCACTGGGGGAGGCAGGCATGTGGAGGGTCCCCTCCGTGGGCAGGGCACACAGGGGTTGCTGGAAACTTAGGGCAGAGCAAGAACTCTGCGCCTCCAGCCCTCGCCCTGGGCACACGGCACTGGAAGCCCAGCACAAAGGAATCCGAAGTCTTAGGTACCTTGAAGGTCATCGCAAGAACAGCAACGCCCAAGCCAAGGTCAACATCTGAGCAGGCTGATCGAAACTTACCCCCCACCACCCTGGTGACCTGACAGAAGAGACTCACCCGTTTCCAGGAAGAAACACTGGGTATGTCCCTTTCAATTAATACAAGATATCTGATATTCAATCAAACATTAGAAGACATATTTTAAAAAAGCAAGGAAAAAACTCAATCCATTTTCTAAGAACAAAGCAATCAACAAAACTAGACTCAAAAATGACACAGATGTTGGAGCTATCAGACAGAAACATTAAAATAATGATGTTGAGCAAAATAAGTTGGAGAAAGACAAATACTGTATGATCTCACTTATATGTGAATTCTAAAACACAAACCAAAGGAAAGAAAACAAAACAAAACGAGGTGATAAATACAGAGAAGATACTGATGTTTTCCGGGGGGGGGGGGGGGGGGGGGGGGGGGTGAAATGGGTATGGGGTCAAAAGACACAAATTTCAAGTTACAAAATTAAAAAGTCCTCAGGATGTAATGTATAGCATGGTGACTATAAAAAAAGTGTTTATATTTAAAGAAATTAGGGAGAGAAATGTAAATATGAAAACAGAGTAAATGTATTAAACTAGAAGAAATAGACTTGAGGGAAACAAAGAGAACTTCGAGAAATCAAAAAAGTCAAGTGATGGAAATTAAAAACTCCGTGGACAACTTAAAACAGAATATTAGACACAGCTAAAGAGAGAATTAGAAAAATCAGAAGGCAGGTCCAAAGAAAGCATCCAGCATGCAGCAAAAGAGAGTCAAAGTGGCAAATAGGTAAGAGATGTTAAGAGTTGCAAATATTTATGGAGGACACGTGTGGTAAATCCATAAATAAAAGCATGAGAGGGGCGCCTGGGTGGCGCAGTCGGTTAAGCGTCCGACTTCAGCCAGGTCACGATCTCACCGTCTGTGAGTTCGAGCCCCGCGTCGGGCTCTGGGCTGATGGCTCAGAGCCTGGAGCCTGTTTCTGATTCTGTGTCTCCCTCTCTCTCTGCCCCTCCCCTGTTCATGCTCTGTCTCTCTCTGTCCCAAAAATAAATAAACGTTGAAAAAAAAAAATAAAAAAAAAATAAAAGCATGAGAATGACGAATATTAAATTTAGGATGATAATTACCTGTGGGGTGGAGTGAAGCACTGAATTGTCTGGTGCAAAGAAGGCTTCTAATTAATTAACTAACTGTGAATAATACATAAATTGGGTTTTTGGACCCAATTTTCATATAGGTGTGAGAAGGCTTCCCCACACCTCCAACAAACAGTGCTCTGGGACACCCTCCCAGGATGTCTTGGAATTCAACTCAGTTCTGACACTACCTACTTGGAGACAGTGTCAGATCCCACAGGTTAATGGCTCCGTCCTAGAGACTGACCCCCACACCACTTCAGATGCCTGCAGCAAGCTGAGCTTGTCACCTGTGTTTCTGACCAACCAGCTCCAGATCAGAGGTCCTTGGGTTCAACTGATTTGTTTAGAGCCGCTCACGGAACTCAGAAACAGCCAGATGGAAGGATGTGGAGGCTAAGGCGTGAGGAGAGCACGTGGAGCTTCCATGCCTTCCGCGCTCACCATATCACAATATAAAAAAGATCAGATGGAAAACCCAAAAGATGCCACCAAAACACTCCTAGAACTGATCCATGAATTCAGCAAAGTTGCAGTATATAAAATCAATGCACAGAAATTGGTTGCATTCCTACACACCAATAATGTAGCAACAAAAAGAGAAATTAAGGAATCAATCCCATTTACAATTACACCAAAAACCATTAAATACTAGGAATAAACCTAACCAAAGAGGTGAGACATCTATACGCTGAAAACTATAGAAAGCTTATGAAAGAAATTGAAGACACAAAAAAATGGAAAAATATTCCATGCTGATGGATTAACAAATATTGTTAAAATGTCAATACTACCCAAAGCAATCTACACATGCAATGCAATCCTTATCAAAATAACACCAGCATTCTTCATAGAGCTAGAACAAACAATCCTAAAATTTGTATGGAACCAGAAAAGACCCCGAATAGCCAAAGCAATCTTGAAAAAGAAAACCAAAGCAGGAGGCAACACAATCCCGGACTTCAAGCTATATCACAAATCTGTAATCATCAAGACAGTATGGTACTGGCACAAAAACAGACACTCAGATCAATGGAACAGACTAGAGAACCCAGAAATGGACCCACAAACGTATGGCCAACTATTCTTTGACAAAGCTGGAAAGAATATCCAATGGAATAAAGACAGTCTCTTCATGCAGAAGAATGAACCTGGACACTTTCTTACACCATACATAAAAATAAACTCAAAATGGATGAAAGACCTAAACATAAGACAGGAAGCCATCAAAATCCTAGAGGAGAGGGGCGCCTGGGTGGCTCAGTCGGTTAAGCGTCCGACTTTGGCTCAGGTCATGATCTCACGGTCCGTGAGTTCGAGCCCCGCGTCGGGCTCTTGGCTGACCGCTCAGAGCCTGGAGCCTGCTTCTGGTTCTGTGTCTCCCTCTCTCTCTGACCCTCCCCCGTTCATGCTCTGTCTCTCTCTGTCTCAAAAATAAATAAATGTTAAAAAAAAATTAAAAAAAAATCGTAGAGGAGAAAACAGGCAGCAACCTCTTTGACCTCAGCCGTAGCAACTTCTTACATCTCTGGAGGCAAGGGAAACAAAGGCAAAATTGAATTATTGGGACCTCATCAAAATAAAAAGCTTTTGCATAGTGAAGGAAACAATCAGCAAAACTAAAAGGCAACCGACAGAATGGGAGAAGATATTTGCAAACAACATATCAGATAACGGATTAGTATCCAAAAATCTATAAAGAACTTATCAAACTCAACACCCAAAACACAAATGATCCAGTGAAGAAATGGGCAAAAGACATGAACAGACACTTTTCCAAAGAAGACATCCAGATGGCCAATAGACACATGAAAAAATGCTCCACATCACTCATCATCAGGGAAATAGAAATCAAAACCACAATGAGATATACTCGGCAATCAAAAAAAAAAAAAATGAAATCCTTCCATTTGCCACAACGTGGTTGGAACTAGAGTGTATTATGCTAAGTGAAATTAGAGAAAGGCAAATATCATATGACTTCACCCATATGAGAAATTTAAGATACTAAACAGATGAACATAAGGAAAGGGAAGCAAAAATAATATAAAAACAGGGAGGGGGACAAAACATAAGAGACTCTTTTTTTTTTTAATTTTTTTTTTCAACGTTTATTTATTTTTGGGACAGAAAGAGACAGAGCATGAACGGGGGAGGGGCAGAGAGAGAGGGAGACACAGAATCAGAAACAGGCTCCAGGCTCTGAGCCATCAGCCCAGAGCCCGACGCGGGGCTCGAACTCACGGACCGCGAGATCGTGACCTGGCTGAAGTCGGACGCTCAACCGACTGCGCCACCCAGGCGCCCCAAGAGACTCTTAAATATAGAGAACAGAGAGGGTTGCTGGAGGGGCTGTGGGGGCGGATGGCTAAATGGGTAAAGGGCATTAAGGAAGACACTTGGAATGAGCACTGGGCGTTCTACATAGGGGGTGAATCACTGGAATCTACTCCTGAAATCATTGTTCCACTATATGCTAACTAACTTGGATGTAAATTAAAAAATGAATAAATATAAACAAAATATGTAAATAAAACCCAATTAGGAAGACCAGTAGGAACACTGCATTCATGTGAGCAAAACATTACTACCTTTTATGTGCTTCTGTACGTGGAAGCATTGCTTGTTAGTTAGTTGGACTTTTTTGTATAGAGAATACTTTTCAGGAGAGCCTGGGTGGCTCAGTCAGTTAAGCATCTGACTTCAGCTCAGGTCATGATCTCACGGTTGGTGAGTTCGAGCCCCGCGTCGGGCTCTGCACTGACAAATGAGACTGTTTGCAGCCTGCGAGGCCGAGCGCGCGGGGCTGGCTGCCATGCTGCCCTCACTGCTGCGCCCAGGATGTTGGGCCAGAGCCATGAGGGAGCACTCCTGGGTCAGCGCCACCGCGGGGAGACCGGCACCAAGCTGGCACGGGGTACGGCGGTTTCTGCCACCGATCCACCCTTGGCCGAGAGCAGCATGGCCTTCTCGTCTGAGCACGGCGCCTACAGGCTCCTTGGCCAGTGTCCCGAGCAGCGCCTGTGGCCATCAGCACCTCGGGGCTGTGGTGCTCCTGGCGCATTTCCCTTGGGGACGGAGAGGAGCAGGACACGCTGTGGGGCCCTTCCCTGGCCCTGACACCACATCCGCCCCGGGGCCTGGGGTGGACGGCTGTGTGCCATCAGGCCGGGTGAAGGTGCCGCTGCAGACAGAACACAGGAGGCCGCTGAGGGGCGTGTGCCAGGAGCAGGTGCACCGTGCTGTGCGCTCACGGCCGCTCCCTGTTCTCAGCTTCTCCCGGCGGGCCGGGCCTCCTTCCCCTTCCCCTCACTCGCAGGGTGGCCCAGCGCCCCCATCCACAAGGCACAGCAGCGTCAAGAGCCCCGCTGCACGGGCGGCCGGAGCTGGGTTTGAGCGGCAGCCCTGCCATCTACAGACTGTCACCTGGGACAGCCCTTCCGCAGCCTCCGCGTCCCCATCTGTGACGGGGGTGCTTGCCAGTGCCCGGCTCCGGAGGCCGTCGTGGGTGCTCAGCGAGACGCCGTGCGCCGTGAGCTCAACGCCAGTCCTGACGCACCTCTCCAGAGGCACACACCTGCAGTCCGGGCTTTTCAGAGTTAACACAACTACAGAAGTGGAAGCGTGAGCTCGCGACACAGACGCGACCGCGTGAGCGCACACGTCCGTGCGGGCAAAGTGCCACAGAGACAGCAGCCGCCCGAGAACCTCACGCCGTAGAAATCCCACCACAGACGTTGAATATGTGAGCTTCAAACGGGTGAAACTAAAAGATGAAACAAGAAACACGAAAGAGGAAGAAAGTTCCGTTTTTTTTTTTTAAGATCCGTGCACTCGGGAGAACCAAATGTAACCTCTAAAGCTAAAACGGGTGAAACCACTGAAGCGAAAGCCCTCTGCGTGGAGAGACGGCGGGGCGGGTGCACTGCCACGGGCTGCCACGAGCCACAGCGCTGAGCTGCAGGGACCCCGTGAGGACAAAGCGTGGCCCAGAGACTTGGAAGATAGACGGAGAAGGCCTGGTAGTCGATTAATTGCTCTTCCAGAGGAAGAGACCAGAGAGAACTAGGGGCAGAAGCTGTCTTCTAGGGACAACGAAGGACGTCCTCAGGTCCCAAAGAGCAGCACAGGCAAGTGCGAGAGACCCAAGTCCCCCCCCACATGACGAGCACCGGGAGTTCTCAGGACAGAATGTGCTGGAAGCAGCCAGAGAACAGCCCAGCTTGCCCACGGGGAGCGGCTGCAGTGGGCTCCATAGCTGCCCACGAGGAGGCAGTGAGGCAGACGGAAAGGTCCGCGTGCCTCCCTCCACCTCCACGCACGTTCCCGGGCAAGCTCACTCATCAGCAGTGCACACACAGGAGCACCTGCAGGACGCCCCCAGGGAGGAGGACCAGACCCAGGGGGAACCATCGGGGAGGCAGAGCGGGGCAGTGACTTAAGAAGCTGGTAGATATGTGGATAAACAAATATTAACTGAGGAGAATAGCAGCAATGCTAATTAGTGGGGTTAGAAAAAATTTAAAGGCAAACCAGAGCCCTGGACAGATGATGCTGGTAAGCTGGAGGGAATCTGCTTTACGTACAAGTGAGAAGGGCCGTGACTGATGCCAGACCACATGAGGGATGCTCACGGAAATCCTAAGGACCGCCAATCAAAGAATAGAAAGCATAGGAACTTCAGAACCAGAGAAGACAGAAAACAAAAGGAAACTTGTAAAATGTCAACGTGACGGCAGGTAGAAAGGGACTTTGAGAAGCAGCATGGAAAGGTGGGGCAAAGATGATCACAAAATAAGATGATAGAAATATATTCAAATATATTACTGATCATAATAAATATAAATAGGCTAAACTCTCCAGTTAAAAAACAGAGATCGAATCTTTTAGAAACGAAATTCAGCTCTGTGCTATTGTGGTCTAAGTCAGGGTACAGGCTGCACCCCTCCCTCGGGGCAGTGCTGGGCCTCTGCCCAGGTGTCCGCGAGGCTCACTGGACATGGCCACGCTCCTTGCTTGTGCCCGGTCTATGGCAACTCGTACTGCAACAGCAGGGCTTCGTGGTTGCAGCAGCAACCGTGAGGCCCGCAGGCTGCAGACAGCTGCTGCCTGGTCCTTTACCTAAAAAGGGTGCCAACCCCTGGTCCAGAGTACACAGATGGAAAGGTTGAAAGTGAACAGAGAAAAAGGGACACCCAGCAAACGCTAACCCAAAACATCTAGTACAACTATTTTAATAGACAACACGTACTTAAAGGTAGAAAGCACCGTTACTGATGAAGAGAATGTCTCATTGGTGATGATAAAATCCAACTCCCCAGAAAGACAGAATGATCCTGACCTTCTATGTACCACAAAGTATAGCCTCAAATATCAATGTCTGGTGCATTTCAAGGAGGAGTGACAGCTCCTATCACAGGGAGACTGTGACACACTGTCCTCAAACATGACAGGGGCAAGCAGAAAAAGGACATCGATGGTCAACATATTCAGAATTCGACAAGTGGCAAATACTTTTCTTTAGCTATAGATGAGACACAGTATTTTGTCTCAAAAACCTCCCGGTACACGGTAAGATAGCGTGTATTTTATTTTCAGGTTAAACATTATATTCATGTATTTCATTGTGGCCTAAAAATCTGAGCTCATGGTGTATATACACTGACTCCTTTATACCTGTCAACAAAGAATTTCAATGAGACAAAAACTGGTTTCTGCCACAATGAATGAGGCTCAGCCACAGCAGGTCAGAAATATGAATTTATCGTCGCTGTAAAACAAGGGGCCGGGATTTCCCTGTTGGCTTCCTTCCACTCTACGACATACTGAAGGCATCTGTACTCGGTTTTCCGAAGATTTTCTATGGAGAGTGTCATGGAAATGTTGTTAAAGTTACTCGGTATAGAAATAGCAAAATCATAGGCAGAAATTAATGGAATAGAAAATAATCACACCACACAGATCAACAAAGCCAAGGATGATTCTATGAAAAAACAACTATGTGACAAGACTGGCCAGTGGAATAAACAAGAAAGCACAAATAAAGACTACTAGGAAATTAGGGATAAAAAATGCGACAGGACTACAGATATAATGGAGATTTTTTAAATAATGACTATTATGAACAACTTAATCCCAATAAAATCTCTAAAAATATGTAACTTTCCCAAATTAGCCATTTAAAACTTGAATAACTTTAAACCATTAAAGACATTGACTCAGGGGGCGCCTGGGTGGCTCAGTCAGCTAAGCGTCCAACTTCAGCTCAGGTCGTGATCTTGTGGTCTGTGAGTTCGAGCCCCGCATTGGGCTCTGTGCTGACAGCTCAGAGCCTGGAGCCTGCTTTGGATTCTGTGTCTCCCTCTCTCTCTGCTCCTCCCCCACTCACATTCTGTCTCTCTCTCAAATATAAACAAACATTAAAAAAATTTTTAATGTTTAAAAGTGTGCACAGTTTATGATGCCTTGTAAATGTTAAAAACCACTAAGGAATGTAACACATTGTCCCAGAACATGGATGAAGAAACACCCTGCGGCGACCACCCCAGCCTCAAGTAGGGTTCCTGTGGGGGGCGCTAGGGAGGCCTTTCTAACCCAGTAAAACTCTTTTCCCTTCTCTGGACTCTGCCAGCAGCCTTTTCTCACCATGTGCCTCTCACACGGCAAAGTAGCCAAAGGTTCCCAAACCGGCGTCCTGTGTCCTGTGTCCCGCCTACACTGTGAGCTTCACGGGAATTCCCATCAGCCAGTGTGACAAGGGACCCGATAAGCACAGCGCAGTGTGTGAGTGCCGTGTGTGTGTGTGTGCATGTGCATGCATGTGTGTGCCCTTGTGTGCACCTGTGCGTACATGTGTGCCCTGTGTGTGCCCACACGCGTATGTGTGTGTGCCCTTGTGTGCAGCTGGGTGTGTGTGCACATGTGTACGCACACGTGCATGCCCCGTGAGGTGCGGGTGGCCCTGTGTATGACAGTCCTCCTGCCCTGCCCTCGCCTGCACGCCTGTCCCCTTTGGTGCCCCCACCTGCTGCAGGACATCCGTTCCCGGCCTCCAGGTCCTGGAGGAACCACTCTGGTCACATCAAGGAGCCCAGCGAGATCTGTCCCGTCCCGACCCACACCTGCCTCCCCTCTCCACAGACCTCCTTCCCGGGGCGGGTGGAAACACAGCCCACAGGCCCCGTTTCGGACTTGCTCATTTTCTTTCCTTTATCATGGCTTTGAAGAAAATCGCACTTTCCTGGAGGACCTTTTCCTAATTAATACATTTGTCAGATCTCCATTCTCCTCTTTGGTTTCTCATGTTGTAAAACCTCATTCCTAAGACATGCCCGATGTGGAAAAGCAGCACCACAGAACAGAGGCTCCGAGTGGCCTGAGGGTCCCATAGGCTCTGAGCAGGCTGAGCGGGGCCTCTGGGGAGGAGCTTCAGGGGGCGCTGTTATGTCACTGTCCGCACCCCATCTCTACTCTGTGGGTTTCACCTCCCACTGCTGGCTGGGGAAACCAGATGCCTCGTGCATGTGTGTGCATGTGTGTACGAGGGATATACACTGGTGTGTGCACGGGGCATACATATATACTGTGTGTGTGTGTGCATACATACATCGTATGCAAGTACGTGGGTGCATGTCTACATACATCCGAGTCAACTGGCTCAGTTTACCAAAGTCCCCCAAATTCAAACAATGTAATAGGTTCCAGTCCGTGCAGCTAAAAGGTCGTAAAAGCAGTTCTGCAGCTCTAAGTTTATCACCTGTCCCTAAGGAAGACTAAAGGGGCTGGAAATCTCAGATGGCCAGTAGTGAGACTGCCCTTGGAAGTACTGGTGCCTCCAGGACTCAAAAGCCACATCCACAGAACCAGAAAAGACCCCAAACAGCCAAAGGACTCCTGACAAGGAAAACCAAAGCTGGAGGCATCACAATCCCAGACTTCAAGCTGTATTAGACAGTATGGTACTGGCACCAAAACAGACCGACCGATGGAACAGAATAGAGAACCCAGACATGGACCCACAAACGTATGGCCAACTAATCTTTGACAAAGCAGGAACAAATATCCAATGGAATAAAGACAGTCACTTCAGCAAGTGGTGCTGGGAAAACTGGACAGCGACATGCAGAAGAATGAACCTGGACCGCTTTCTTACACAAAAATAAAAATATACAAACATAAACTCAAAATGGATGAAAGACTTAAATGCGACACAGGAAACCATCAAAATGCTAGAGGAGAAAATAGGCAGCAACGTCTTTGACCTTGGCCTCAGCAATTTCTTACTTGACATGTCTCCAGAGACAAGGGAAACAAAAGCAGAAATGAACTATCAGGACCTCATCAAGATAAAAAGCTTCTGCACAGTGAAGGAAACAATCAGCAAAACTAAAAGGCAACCGACAAAATGGAAGAAGATATTTGCAAACGACATGTCAGATAAAGGATTAGTATCCAAAATCTACAAAGAACTTCTCAAACTCAACACCCAAAAAACAAATATCCAGTGAAGAAATGGGCAAAAGACATGAACAGACACTTCTCCAAAGAAGACATCCAGATGACCAACAGACACATGAAAAAATACTCCACATCACTCATCATCAGGGAAATAGAAATCAAAACCCCAATGAGATACCACCTCACACCTGTCAGAACGACCAACATTAACCACTCAGGAAACAACAGGTGTTGGCGAGGATGTGGAGAAAGGGGAACCCTCTTGCACTGCTGGTGGGAATGCAAACTTGTGCAGCCACTCTGGAAACAGTATGGAGGTTCCTCAAAAAGTTGAAAATAGACCTACCCTACGACCCAGTAATCACACTACTGAGTATTTACCCGAAGGATACAAAAAATGCTGAT